TTCTTTCTGGTCTCAGTTTGTCGAGGACGCAGACTGGATAAAGGTCAGTAACAAAGTGAAGAGATTTTATTTGGAAAATTCACCTTTACTCAGTTGTTATGGAATCATGTCACTACGTTCATCTCTAACAGCATCTTATCAAAATCTTTTCTACCAAAACGTATTTTGGTTTAGACTTTAGTGAGAGACTCTCATTAATCAAACTCCACATCCATAAATGTGACTTCTCCACTCTCAGGACAGAATCGGAACAATTTGTTCCTCTTACAACAAGAAAGCTTTAAAACCATTAATAATCTCACGGTGTCTCTCGCCTTTCCCTGTTTGAATCTGCATTTCTGTCCTATTTATTTGTACATACTCTTCCACTGTATCATAATTTTGCACTACAATTTTACATCGTGCAGTTTTCTGCTTTTTGTTGAAGATTCTGTTGAAATAAAGTTGGAGAAAAAATTGTTTCTTTCATGAGCAACACATCCCGACATTTCAAAATAAAGTAAAGTCTGGAATGATCAAACTCTTAGAAATGAGACAAAAACGGATTAAAATGAGGTTCAATGTTTTTATTTCATGCCTCACAGTGACTGCATCCTCCTGGAACAGCTGGCTCCACCTTTGGCCACACGTGAAAAATGTCTTCGTCAGCCTAACAGTTTTGATATTGTCACACACTGATGACATCATCAATGAACCCGATCAGTGTATTGAGACACAGCAAGAACTTTATGCTGAAAGGTGAACACACCTGTGGTCTGCAGGCACAGGTGAGACGCCTGCTGGCTCTCCTCAGTCAGAGGCTGTGTCCCAATTAAGAGACTGCACGCTTGAAGTACGCGCACTACGCGTACTACAAGTACGAGAAGTGCGGAAGTGAGAGGCTTGTGAAATGGGACGGTATACGCTTCGTCCTGCTGTTCAGGTTGCCTAGCAACCATGATACTAACCGCGAGACACGTTACATACAGCATTGTTTGACAGAAATGAAGGAGAAAAATGTTTTGTTGGTCATTCATTTTTGTCATGACATCACTTCAGTTGAGTATCTGAGGCTGAGACCACGGCACTGTAAAACATGATTGTTGGGCTTCATTTCTGTGCTGAACAGGGGCGGACGTGGGGGTGGCTTACTGGGCTTAAGCCCGGGTTGTTTTGTCAGAAGCCCGGGGTCTTTTGGAGTGTAATTTTTTCATAGTTAGATGTCTGGCTGACAACTGTATAAAACAAAAAGTACACACAATATTCGAAGCACATAGTGCACACTGTGGGAATTTACGACTGTGCGTGAATCCCCCCTGATATTGGTATGATCCGAGCTCAGGCACTAAGCGGCTGTCTCCCAATTCAGGGTCTGCAGCCTTAAAGTATGGACTTCAAGGCCAATTACGTCACAGCGGCGCGACGAAGGCTGTCCCAATTCAAAGGCTGCTCGAAATGCGGCCCTCAAATGCGTCCTTCATTTCCCTGAATTTTAAGGATGTGGCAGTGTAGACTTCGTGGCCCAACATATCCCAGAATGCCTAGCGTGGCGGTGGGTGTGGATAAATTTGCAGAAAAAAAACGGTGGATGAGGGGCGGCCGAAGAGTGAACTTTAAGTACTGAATATGACGTCACTTATTTATGTGCAAATGTTTAATAACGAAGAACATTAAACATTACTGTTGGCCACATGTCGGCAAAGTTATGTGACATCAGTGACGTTTGTACTAACTTGGTTTTAAAGCCTTTACTTTAAAATATACGCCGTCCAATAGCTGAGCTTAATCTCACAGAGAATGATCAAAGCTCATGTAGAAACAAACAAATGAACAAAAGATTTTCTCCTTCATCTCTGTCAAACACAGCTGTATGACACGTTTCCAGCTGTTAGTATCATGGTTGCTAGGCTACCTGGGCACCGCAATGGAGGCTTTTTAAAAAAAAAAACTTTATTGACAAACAACAGTATCAGCGCAACGGAGGCTAGACCGGCCCATTACACAAGCCTCGCACTTCCGGCCTGAGCGGTCTTTGAGTACGCGGCCCTTGAGGATCGTTGAGGCTGCGTACTTTAAGGCTGCAGACCCTGAATTGGGAGACAGCCAGCGACTGAGCGAGGGGGCGGGGCAGCTGCTGCCTGTGAGTGCGCTGTTGGAGAAACGGAGCCAGCCATACTAAGGAGAGCTTAAGTTTGACCAGGTACCAAAGCAAATCATTCGTACCGTACAAATAATGTAAATATGACGGTGCATCACGAAAGATTGATATCAAACTGATCACTTGACCAATATTACGTTACTCGCTCTTCAAGTGAATCAACAAATGGCGAAATGAAAAGCCAAACAAATGCTATTTCTTTAGAGAGTCTTAGCTTACGTGTGTTTATTTCATATTCTCAGTTCTTACCCTCCCCGACTAAATCTGTTTCAGTTATGTACTGAAAGATAAGAATGGACATTAGAGGCTTCTTTCAAAGAAAAAACTCAGGTAAATGTTATTTTATATATTGTGCTTTGTATGTTGTTCAGTATATTTCTATGCAAAACAAGAGGGGTTTCAGTACACAGCAGGATAGTCACATTTGTAACCAGATATTTACACTTTAGGGAGAAAACATTTTTACTGTACAACATCAATTTAGAGTAAACTTTTATTTTAGATAAATATTGAAATATATTTTGAATTAGTTAAATGTCAGAATAAAGAGAGACAGAGCTTTCTGTTTTTTAATCACTTTCATCAAATGTAGGAGTACATGTACACTAAGTTTATTGTTAATTAGTAAGAAAACTCCAGACGATTCCATTCTGAGCTGAAGAAGCTTCTGATAGGTTCGTAGAGTCCATGTGAGTAAACTGGTGGCACAGCTGTGGATGCATATAAGGCAAAACACAGAGCCTGTTTCTTTGACATGGGAACATCAAGAGATGTCAACAAAACACCAGGAACAGAACTGTGGAGCTCCATAAGTGTGGCTCAGTTTGAATACAATTTGGTGCCATTTACAATTAAGAAATACAGACAGTTTATCTCTTTACTCTTAAAGTTAACAAATATGTTTTTTATATTTATCTAAAAAAATAAACATTTAGTCTAATTTGATCATACAATTAAAAAATTGTTTTTATCTGAAGGGTAAATATCTGGTTTCAACTGTATATTTGATGATTGTCAGCACAAAGAGGGAGAGAGAGGAGCAGAGAGGGAGAGGAACAGAGAGAGAGAGAGGGGAGCAGAGAGGAAGAGAGAGGAGAATGAGGACAGAACAGATGAACAAGAGCAGGTGAGACACACATGTCAGTCACATGGTTGTTTACCAGAAGTATCAGCGTATCACAGGTCCTCATGTATCTCGTACCTAGTGTTTCTTTTTAGGTTTGTTATTTTTCAAATTCTATATTTATTAAGTTCTGCAGCTTGTTTGCACAACAAGGCTAAATAATTATATAAACTTTTCTCAATCTAAATATTGTACTTTGGTAGAATTAAACAATAAGTGTAGTGCAGGTCTATGATGGTTTTTAGTGCTGCTATCATCTAGTTCTGATTCTGGTTCTGTCTTGGTTAAGTCCTCAGTAGTCCTGATTTTGAACTGTTGTAGTCCTGCTTTAATTCAGGATCAGTTCTGGGTCTGGTTGAATTGGGGTTTAGTCCTCGTGTCTTGATGTCTGGCTCCGCCTCTGGTGCTGAACAGTCATTTAAGATTAGTTAGTAAATAACAATTAGTTAAATGGTAAATGGCCTGCATTTGTATAGCGCTTTTCTAGTCCATAGGACCCCAAAGCACTTTACACTACATTCAGTCATCCACACACTGGTGATGGCAGCTACATTGTAGCCACAACTGCCCTGGGGCGCACTGACAGAGGCGAGGCTGCCGGACACAGGCGCCACCGGGCCCTCTGACCACCACCAGTAGGCAAACACGGGGTTAGTATCTTGCCCAAGGATATTTGGCATGCAGCCAGGAGGCAGCCTGGGATCGAACCACCGACCTTCTGATTAGTGGCTGACCTGCTCTGCCACCTGAGCTACAGCCACCACCAATGTTGTTCATGAGACTAAAGTCAACTCCCTGTGGCAATGTAAATATAATATGGCCAATATTATAGTATTGTCAGATTATTATGATTGATTATATATATATATAGATAGATATACACACACACACACACATATATCACTGACTTTCAGCTTGTGTTTGTATGACTGACTAATTATTAAACATTCGCACATAAATAAGTGACGTCATATTCAGTACTTTAGTTCACTCTTCGGCCGCTCCATCTTATTAGGGAAATTCCACATACATAAATGTAAATTTCTAAACTCAACCCCATCATTTAATTTGGTTTTGATTGAAACTGAATATTACTTAAACTCTCTTAAATTAACTTCCAATAAAAAAGGTTTATCATTGATTGAAATTCATTCAGAAATGTTTAAGGAATGAGCTGTCACAACTTTCAAGTACAAAGTTGTTATGAAGTCTGTCACATTCCCCCCTTTTTTCTTTTTTTTATCCTTTATTTATTTATCCTTCTTATTTCATTGTGCTGTATATTGTTACTCTTATTTGCCTTGTATGTCTACTGTACGAACTGAACTGGAATGACTGACTGTTCGCTTTATCATTTCAATAAAGTTTGGAAAAAAAACTCTTCGGCCGCTCCCTTTTGCCGTATTTTGCGGCAAAATTATCCACATCCACCGCCGCGCTATGAATTGTGGGATATATGGGACCACGAAGCGTGCACCGGACCACGCTTGATATTTGGGGAAATCAACGGCGCATTTGGAGTATGCGTTTGAAGCACACTTTGAATTGGGACAGCCGTCGTCGCGTGGCGGTGACGTAACCGCACTTAAAATGCGTACTTCAAGCGTGCGGTCTCTTAATTGGGACACAGCCAGAGAATCACGTCAAATACGACTGATGTGAATGTGTCACTTCCTGGTTGTGACAGGAAGCCGCTGCTGGAGGAAGTGACACGGAGGCAGTGAAGAGGCACACACCCTCTTATTTTAGAAAATAATTTAATAACAGGTGAATGTAAAAAACATCAGTGGCAGGACGCGCATCTCCTCTGCTGCTAATACTCTTTAATCAGCTGATTGACAAAACAAAAGCACATTGCACATGAGTCTCAGAGGGGCGTGGCCAACAGCGGCGGTGGTCGGTCCAGTCTCTGCATCCGCTCCCTTTCTCGCCGCGTCGCCTCAGTAACACTCAGTTTGTTTAACTAAAGAGTCCACAGACAGGCGACGGCGGCGTCCTCTTGACACACACACACAGGCGCCAAACACACCCTCAGCACCCCCCTCCCCCCGCCGGGTAAATGAGATATAAAAGGGAGGGAAATGACTCCAACTGAAAAGTGAGGAACTAAAGAAAGGTGATGAAGAGTGAGGGCGGCACTCAGCTCTCGATACTTACACTCACACCGACGCGCTCCCGGAGGGGGCGTGGCTTCAGCGGCCGGGGAGGGGGACGTCTGGCTTACCTCGTCTGCTCTCACTCAGTCACCTACAGCCTCTCATTATTGATCTATTATTGATCAGTCTGATCAGCCGTCCTCGCCGAGCGATGGGCCGACGCCCCCGCTCACGCTCACCCCCGCCCGCTGACAGCAGTCCCACAGCCGCCGAAGGCGCTCCGAGGCCCCGCCGTCCGCTGCCTCCAGCAGCAGACGCTACAAGGGTGTGGGGGGGACAAAGGGAGGGATAAACAAAGGTTGGGGGGGGGGGGTGGGGGGGGGGCATGCGGGGGGGGACGGGGACGGAGGGCAGGTGAACATGCTGTATACAGGTGAGTCAAACTGTTTATAGTCACATGGTCATAGAATACGAGGCAGTACAAGCCAATCAGCATGGGCCGACGCCCTATCTGAACAGCTGATCTCAGATCTACTACAGGGCCACACACTCTGACCAATCAGATTCCAGCATTTCTTTTCCCAGTCCAAGTTTTTAGGACCCCCCCCCTTCAGATCTGAGCGCAGCTGTCCAATCACAGCTTGTCTAATGTGATGTCATTATCTGTGTGTGTGTATATTACATGTTTCCACAGGGCTGCGCTCAGTGGGAGGTTCTGCAGGGCCTGCTGGAACATGTGACGCACCTGAAACACAACAAGGGGGCGGAGACAAACACCACTGAGTGCTCAGCTAGACTCCACCCTCTTTTCTTGATTTGATTCAGTCTCAGACTCACCTCAGCTCGCTCCTTTAGCTCCTCCTCCACAGCAATTGCTCTATGAACATACGCACACACACACACACACAATCAGGACGCAGTAATCATTGATCACTGATCTGGCGGGACTGTCGACACGCACTCACATTTTCCAGCTGCTCAGACACTTGGGGGTGTTACCGCTCAGCATCCGGGCCTGGAACTTCAGGTGCTCCATGTTCCCATCCAGCCACTCCTGGTGCAGCAACCTGAGCAGACACACAGCAGTGACATCGCTGATGTGGGCAGAGCTAAACTGTCCCTGCGGTCGGATGATTTAAATCCAACGACAAACAGGAAGTAGATGTATTTTCCATCTCATTACTGGAGTCAAATCACTGACAAGTGGCATTAAGCTCCACCCAGTCCTCCTCCAAGTGTGTACCTGAGGCCCAGCTCAGTGTTATTGGGCATAGTGTAGCACAGTCTCTCCAGAACCAGTGCATGCTGGGATGGCGGCAGGCAGCTCAGGTAAAGCGCGACCACCTGCAGAGGGAGACATGACATCAGCAGACTACAACTACAGACCTGCCGCTGAGCAAGGCAGCGAGCGCTCACATCTGTGTGACGACGGCACGGAGTCGTGACATCACGCAGGTGAAGATGGCGTGTGGCAGCAGACTCGACCTCTGACCTTGTTGTGGAAGCGGTAGCAGCTCCAGAACTCTGCGGCGTTGAAGGGGAGCTCGAGTCTTGAGGGGGTGGTGCTGAGGCAGCGCTGGACCAGGTCTGAGAACGTCCTGGACTGTGAGGCGGCGGTGGCGGCGCGGGCCTGCGGGCTGCAGCTGAACGTCAGGTAACTGCAGAGAGAGGGAAACTGTGAGCAGCGGGCGCGTGCGGTCGAGGAGGAAGTACCTGTGGCAGGTGAACTCACTCCATCCACAGCCTGTGAAGCTCCTCCAGCTGGGTGACCGCCCCCAGTGCGCGCTCAAACGCCTCTGCCGCGTCCTCCACCGAGCCGTGCAGCCACTGCCACCGACTACAACGACAGTGAGCACGTTAACCCTACTGCGCCCGCTTTCATCATCACCGCAGGACGCCATTTATGAAACCTTAAACACCAACCAGTGAATGAGGTGGAGGAAGCTCATCTGCTGGCTCAGCCGCTCCTGCAGCTCCTTCTTGATGACGGGACCTCCCAGCAGCTCGGAGGAAGAGGAGAAGCCCAGGATGTGCCTGAGGGAGGAAGAACAGAGCGCCATCAGCTGTCCGTGCGGACTACAGCTGGGAAGACGGAGGCGTCGGGACGTACCGCAGCACATCTACGGGCGTCCTCGGACTCTGCTCGTCCTCGCAAAGCGACAGCACGAAGCCTCTGAACAGCGGCGTGATGGCGCCCGCCTCCTCCTGTGGACACAGAGACTGTTCTTAGCGTCGAGAGGCGGAGCTTAAACTTTATTCACAGACTCACGGTCGAGCTCACCTGAGCCATGAGGAACTTGCAGCAGTGGTAGAAGACCTCGGCGTTGTGGGGGCATTCGGCCAGAGCGTGGAGCCACATGCTGACCGCCCGGTCGCCGCTCCCGCCGTGCAGGTGGAGGTCGGCCACAGCGTCTCGCAGAACGCACGACTCGGGACAGAACTCGAGCAGCGACTCGCACAGCGCGACGCCCTCGCTGTACCTGCGCACACACACAGCGAGGCGCTTCATAGACCACGATGTCACCGAGCACAAACAGATTTGACCTTTGACTTCACAGCTGTTCACAAACCTGACACGATGACATCACACGAGAGAACAAACATGGCGCACTCCGCACTGACCTCACAGGTGACCTCGCGTCACCACACCTGCTCCTCTGGTCAGGTACGGTGCGGCTCACTAACCGTGTGGCGAGCGTGACGAGGTCAACCGACCAATCACAGAGTCAGAGCGGTCTGAGGTGGGCGGGGCTCTGATTACTCGAATGTTCATCCCGCTTCCTCACAGTGTGATGTCAGCAGCGAGCTCACCTTTGTAGCAACTTGTAGAGGAAGATGAGGTTGGTGTGCAGAGGAAGGCAGGCCAGCGTCCCCTCGCTGTCAGATGCGTGGTCGTCGCTGCACTGACGGACGCCATCTGAGAGGAAACAGTCACACAGGAAGTGGAAACCAGTTAAGCTTAGGGAGACAAGAACCTCGCGTGTCTGCTGGGTCGCAATGCCATACCTTGGAAGAGAGCGATGAGGATGTCGGCAGGCGTGCTGATGTCCTGCGGCGTCCTCCATGGCAGCAGGAACGGCTCCCTGCTGACTACACGGGACGGGCCGGACTCCGCGGGGTCATACAGGCACGCCGGCAGTCGGTCGAACTCCGTCAGGTGGATGTAGGAGAGCCAGAGCAGCGCCCGGTCGGCGGCCATCAGGTGGTCGGCGATGCTCCGGTCCTGAGGTGACTTCAGAGCGTTCTGAGAGGAGAAATCCAGACAGCAGATGTCACGTCACATTAGTCCCGCCCTCTGGAATACAGGTGACAGCCAGTCATGTGGCCCCCAACATGGCTGCACACTGACGTAAACAGCTGTGTTTGTTGTTTGTTTTTTTAGGAACCTGATTCTTTAAACTCTGTGAAAAATGTTCGTCCCACTCTGACGTTACGTTTGTGGTGCACAGCGTGAGGCAGGTGCCCGAGGTCGCGGCTCACCTGCAGGACGGCGAGCGCGCTCTCCAGCCGGCCCGTGAACAGGCTCAGCTGGACTCTGTAGAGCAGCGCCTCCATCAGCTCGAAGGACAGCATCTCTGTGACTCCAGACGACGCCTCGGCGAGGAGGAACTGCAGCAGACGCTCGCACACGTAGTCTTTCCCTTCAAATGAGCTCTCCAGGTTCAGGTACTGAGCAGCAGAGGTCAGAGGTCATTATGACATTTACCTGATAAACAACGATAAACCCACCAACGCGCCACTGTTAGCCCACTGAGCTGTGCGGTGAGCTAGCGGCTCCTGCAAGCAAACCACGCTCACTTACGTTCCACCACACTCTGTAGTCAGGGGCGTGCTCCACCGCCATCTCGCACATCTCCTGCACCTCCTCCCGGCTGCCCCGCCTGGAGAACAAGGACAGGTAATGGCTCCACACCTCGGGATTATCGCAGTTGCTCTCCAAAGCGCGTGACAGCGTGTTCAGGGCGGCTTCCAAACACTCTGCCGCAGAGCTGCAGGGGACAGATTCAAGGTTAAAGGGGGTGGAGCTCCGCAGCACAGACCTTGAGGTAGGCGGGGACTTACGTCTCGCTCTGACTGAGGTATTTGAAGGCGAGCTTGATCCACAGCTGAGTGTCTCGGGGGCTCTCCAGGACGCTGGCCTCCAGGTTGGCGATGTCGTCCGTCTCACTGATGAAGTAGCGTTTGTCCTCCGAGGTGACGCACGCGTCCAGAGCAGAGAGGCCGGCGTGAGCGCCGCTGTCTGCACGCACACAGACACACGTGAGCTCACTCAGACCTGCCACGGAGGAAACGACGAAATCCTCCCCGTTCACTAACCTCTGCCAGGTGTCACGTGACCGGCCGCCATCCCCTCGTCGCCGCTGCCGTCGTCCTCGGGACTGAGGTCACTTTGCGTCGATGGCTTCGGCCTCCACCTCCTCGCATCCTTGTAGGTGGTGTAGGGCGGGACTGAAGATGGAGGGGACAGGTGAGAAGCACGGAAGCGGCTGGAGCAGTGGGCGTAACGTTACGGGAATGCTGACCTACCGTGGCGCTTGCTTTCGTTGACTTTGCTGACGAGGAGGACGGCCTTCTGGTCGACGCCCATGCGGTCCTTGTTAGAGCCGAACAGCCTCTTCATGTACTTCTCTGCAAACAAACACAAACACCTGAGCTTCCACGTGACACACCTGCCGACCACCAGACCGAGGCTTCGCACCCACCGCACCTGTGGCGGCGCACACGTCCTCGTCCGAGCTGCCGTCGGAGCAGCCGATCAGCGACAGGTCGTAGGACAGGATGTCCTGGAAGAGCTGGTTCCCGCTCAGAGTGCAGTTCCTCATGTGCTGCCTGCGGCGCAGAGGGACAAACATTAAACAGGAAGAGCTACAGACTCAGGCGGGTAACATTATCGTCACGGTAACAGGGCGACACATCACGCAAACGTGCCGCTGCGTTGTTTTACTTTGTGGTGTGACGTCCACCAGCGATCATCGGGGTGTGTGCACACTCAGCGGTCAGGCTCAGGAATATAACCCGCACGTGCCCGCCGTGAGGTTTCACAAAGACATGCAGTGATTCTAGTTGCTCCGTGTTGCTGGTTAACCAGCTTTTATCCGACTGTTCAAACTTTAAACTGTTCTTCTCTCTCTGCTGATGCCGGCTATATCTTTTGGTGCTCATAACTTTCACACTAGGGCTGGGCCATATTATACCGTTCACGGTAATACCGGTATAATGTTAGGCAACGATAGGAAAATGAAATATCGCGATAGAATGAGTAAAACGCGCATGCGCAGTGGCTTTGTTTTCATACGCACATGGCCGATTGTTGAGTGAAACAGATGAACCAGAACTGGTTTGTAAAAACTAACCCAACTTCCGTGATGTGGAACTGGTTTGGTGTTTGTCCGTCAGATACACAACAAAGCACATTTTTTTGCAGAACATGCAAGCGGCCGTTGTTATTGTCGTATTTGTCGGACTAAGATGCTCTTAAATCTGGGAGTAATCTGGGTCCTAAACTCCGTATGCTTCAGGTCAAACAACACTGCAGCATCACTGAGAGTTAAAAACTGTCTAAATTCTTTCATCTTTAATAAAACGTTCAGCATTGCTGCTTTACCAGGTGTAACTATAAAGTTTAACTTCCAGGCATCCATGAAAACAAAAGTTATTACATTTAACGGAATTAGAAGTTAGCAGGAAGCTAGCAGAAGTTAGCTCGCTAGTTTCGCTAGTTAGCTAAGCATGATATAGCATGTTCTGACTGAGAGATTTCTGAAAAAAATCAAACGTACAGCTCTGCTATCACTTCCAACATAAATGAAGACAGGAAACTAAACAGCAGTGACGTTTGTAGGGTTACTGAAGTTGGGCTAGCTGGTATATAATGATGTGCTACGTGATCGCTAGCGACACAGCTATGTTAGCATAACATAAACAGTGAAGGAGGACGATCACCAACACTTTTCCACTTATAAAAGTTAACGTGAAGGTTCCTGATGGATAGAGACAAATGCAATCGCATGGCAGGATGCTGTAAACGGACCAAACTTCAGTCAGGAGAACAACTGAGATAATCCATCCACAATACGAGGTTAGTCATTCATATACTGCAACAACATGGGAATAGAGCAGCTGCTAGAGAATTCAACATTAATGAATCAATGGTACAGAAGTGGAGGAAGCAAGAAGAATGAGTTTAATAAAGTTTGATTTATCTGACTGCTTTGTTTCGCTTAATGTGCCTTACAGTGGGGCAAAAAAGTATTTAGTCAGCCACCGATTGTGCAAGTTCCCCCACTTAAAATGATGACAGAGGTCAGTAATTTGCACCAGAGGTACACTTCAACTGTGAGAGACAGAATGTGAAAAGAAAAATCCATGAATCCACATGGTAGGATTTGTAAAGAATTTATTGGTAAATCAGGGTGGAAAATAAGTATTTGGTCACCTCAAACAAGGAAAATCTCTGGCTCTCACAGACCTGTAACGTCTTCTGTAAGAAGCTTTTCTGTCCCCCACTCGTTACCTGTATGAATGGCACCTGTTTGAACTCATCGTCTGTATAAAAGACACCTGTCCACAGCCTCAAACAGTCAGACTCCAAACTCCGCCATGGCCAAGACCAAAGAGCTTTCGAAGGACACCAGGAAAAGTATTGTAGACCTGCACCAGACTGGGAAGAGTGAATCTACAATAGGCAAGCAGCTTGGTGTGAAAAAATCAACTGTGGGAGCAATCATCAGAAAATGGAAGACATACAAGACCACTGATAATCTCCCTCGATCTGGGGCTCCACGCAAGATCTCATCCCGTGGGGTCAAAATGATCATGAGAACGGTGAGCAAAGATCCCAGAACCACACGGGGGGACCTGGTGAATGACCTGCAGAGAGCTGGGACCAAAGTAACAAAGGTCACCATCAGTAACACACTACAACGGCAGGGAATCAAATCCCGCAGTGCCAGACGTGTTCCGCTGCTGAAGCCAGTGCATGTCCAGGCCTGTCTGAAGTTTGCCAGAGAGCACATGGATGATACAGCAGAGGATTGGGAGAATGTCATGTGGTCAGATGAAACCAAAGTAGAACTTTTTGGTATAAACTCAACTCGTCGTGTTTGGAGGAAGAAGAATACTGAGTTGCATCCCAAGAACACCATACCTACTGTGAAGCATGGGGGTGGAAACATCATGCTATGGGGCTGTTTTTCTGCCAAGGGGACAGGACGACGGATCCGTGTTAAGGACAGAATGAATGGGGCCATGTATCGTGAGATTTTGAGCCAAAACCTCCTTCCATCAGTAAGAACTTTGAAGATGAAACGAGGCTGGGTCTTCCAACATGACAATGATCCAAAACACACCGCCCGGGCAACAAAGGAGTGGCTCCGTAAGAAGCATTTGAAAGTCCTGGAGTGGCCTAGCCAGTCTCCAGACCTCAACCCCATAGAAAATCTGTGGCGGGAGTTGAAAGTCCGTGTTGCTCGGCGACAGCCCCAAAACATCACTGCTCTCGAGAAGATCTGCATGGAGGAATGGGCCAAAATACCAGCTACTGTGTGTGCAAACCTGGTAAAGACCTATAGTAAACGTTTGACCTCTGTTATTGCCAACAAAGGTTATGTTACAAAGTATTGAGTTGTATTTTTGTTATTGACCAAATACTTATTTTCCACCCTGATTTACCAATAAATTCTTTACAAATCCTACCATGTGGATTCATGGATTTTTTTTTCACATTCTGTCTCTCACAGTTGAAGTGTACCTCTGGTGCAAATTACTGACCTCTGTCATCATTTTAGGTGGGGGAACTTGCACAATCGGTGGCTGACTAAATACTTTTTTGCCCCACTGTATAATCCCGTGCACCTTATGGTCCGAAAAATGTGTACTGCACACTGCAGTTTAATGTTGCAAAGCACCTCTTTTTAACTTCAGTGGATATTATACATGGTTATGCTCAGGATATGTCAGCCCATTTCTACTGGAAATGCCTTTTGGTTAAATTTTCAGCAAGGAATTTGCATTTGCACTGTTAAATTTTTATAAAGCTTTAATGTACATAAAAACCAGCTTCTTGTTTAAGTGAAAATAAATGGAAGGTTGTCTTTTTGCACTAGTAATGTTGTGGAGTTGTATTTTGTCTCGCATCAATTATATCGTCAGTTATATCGTTATCGCAAATTTTCAAATATATATCGTGATAAATATTTTTGGCCATATCGCCCTGATCTATTTCACACTTTTTAAAATATTAAGATTTCTATGCCGTTCTTTGGCCCATTAAAATGAATGAACAAGCGTAGAGCTGGGCGATAGAACGATGACGATATGTATCGCGAAATAACTTTTTCTCGATAGAAAAATTATTGTGATAGACCTCGCCGCTCTTGTCCTCTTAAAAAAAAGAAAAAAAAGAAGGACAGCCAATCCAAATGAAGTAGCGCAGAGCCGAACCAATCACAGCCGCAGTGTCACGTCACGTGACTTGTTACGTACAGCACAAGTGCCAAGCCGCACGTGTGTATTTGTTTTGGGAAGCAGCCAGCCGCCGTGCCGCCGGGTAATGGAGGAAATGAGTGTGCCGACTAGAGAAACATCAACCGAGAGCGTGACCGAAGGTTACCGAAGAGAAAACAGATGATGGTTCCAATGCCGGAGAGATTGTCGAACGGAAGAGCCACAGAAGCTCCGCAGTGTGAAGGTATTTCTGCTATTTCAAGTCTGACAAAAACAGAGTAGCTGCACTGTAAATGTGCCGAAAGCAAGTCTGGAAATACGATAAAGCGGTGCAGCTCAGTCTCTGACTGGAAGCGCTGATTCATCATTCGGCTTTTGTCAGACTAAAGTAACTGTTAAAACTGTTTGAAAAGCTCAGCTATACAACAAGGAGAGATTGAGAATTTCCTTTTAGTTCTCAGTTTATTTGATATTGACAAAAGTTAGTCAGTTTTGTCTGTTATTCTGTAAAACAAACTAAGATTTATTTTTAGAATTAATATTTTGTTTCTAAGTGGAATTGACAAATTAGTCTGTTTCGTTTGTTCTATTTTGAAACTTAAACGCTTTAGCGGCTGCCTTTTGTGTAGTTTGCAATATTTGCCTTTATTTATCTGAAAAAGTCTCATGTTCCTTAAGTACATCTACCCTGTTGAACTTATTATGGGAAATAAATATTTAAATAAAAACAAGCTGCTGATTATTTCACATTTTACTTGTGAGCAACGGCACATTTAAATCTTACAAATATAGTTATTTGGCTGATATCGTGATAGATATCGTTATCGCCTGAAATGAAAAACACATATCGTGATATGAAAAAAACCGCCCAGCTCTAAACAAGCTCAGTGCGATGAGCAGCGGTTCTCAGAGCAGGAGGCCCGGGTTTGAATCTCGCCCGTGGAAACATGTTTCACGAGACAGCTCAGGGAATCGTCTTGTATTTCTGCTAATTCATTACAATTCTGCAATTTTTATGATTTCAGCAGCTCTTCTAATGTGTACTTCAGCTTCTTCAGCTTTTCAGCAGATTCCACTACACGGCATTCACACCGCACTTTCGCAGGAAATGCAACTTTTTCTAGTTTATGTCTGTGAGCACAAAGCTGACACTGGGAGACTTTGTGTCAAAGTAACTGAGGATAAAAACATGAAGCAGACTTTCCTGGCCTGCCTTTTTATAGCAGATAACCTTAAACATATTCTGCAGTCGATCAAACACTGAAGAAAACCATAAATCAACATGTGAACGTTACCTGAGGTTTGATTACAGAAGCTGAGCAATCGTTTAGGTTTAAATTTCTTCAGTTTGAACAGCAGAGATGAGGCTTTGATGTCAAAGTAAAACAGCGAAAGTCATGACGAAGTTCATCAAACGTGAAGCTCAGTTTGATCTGCTTTTGCTGCTGGTTCAGTGAACTTGGGTTAGAATAATGATAATGATAATAATGATAATAATGATGATAATAATGATAATAATAATAATGATAATAATGGATTGCATTTATATAGCGCTTTTCGGGACCCCTCAAAGCGCTTTACAACACCACTATTCATTCACTCTCGCATTCACACTGGTGGAGGCAGCTACAGGTGTAGCCACAGCTGCCCTGGGCAGACTGACAGAGGCGAGGCTGCCATATCGTGCCATCGGCCCCTCTGGCGGTTAGAGTGATGCAACCTGCAGCTTCAGGATCTGTGAGCTTTTGGCCTTCAGCCCGACGGCGTGTCTGTGGACGTGCCATCAGGTGAAAGATCCACGCTCTGTTTTTACATCCTCGTAGCTGCTCTCACTTACTGCTTTAGCTGTTTGTTGAAATATTTCCTGAGCTTTAACCGGAGATACATTTAAATGCAAAAATCGATTCAGGATTTAATGAATTGATATCACGTTATTCAAATAGTTTGTTTTGTTGTTTTACACCCCGCTCACCATCTGCAGCCGTCGTCGTTGCACGTTCCCGTGAGGTCGAAGCGGCAGAAGCACTTCTTTGCTTCGATGGCGTTGCTGTACGTCACCGAGCTCAGAGACAGCTTCTCCTTGGTCCTGTAGTACGGGCTGAACCTGAGCGGGAGGACACAGCTGTGAGCCGACCGCACAGACCACATACGAGCTCTGCTGCTGTCGGTACGACGGAGCTACCTGTAGGACCTGAAGGCCAGCAGAGGGCTGTGGTACGGTCCGAAGGGAAGCGGCCTCAGCTCCAAGCCGCCCGACGAACTCACCGCTGTCTCCACCTCAGCCGGAAACACCTGGATGACCGGACACACAGAGCGTTAGCGTGAAATTCCCCCGAGACCTTCAGCTGCCCCTCTGACAGTCTCCGCTCACCTGTGCAGCGAGGGCGGGGTCCACGTCCTCCCCCAGCACCTGCAGCTCCATCAGCAGCAGATCTCCCAGAGGTGTCTTCTGTCTGTACAGCCGCTGCAGGGCGTCCACGTCCAGCCCGCGAACATCTCGGCAGGAAGCTCCACGCCTGTCGAGCCACTGGGCAGCGCCTTCACGGGCTTGGCGGCAGTGCCGACGTCTTTGGGCGGAGCCGAGCTCGTGGCGTCCAGGTGGGGTTTGGTGAAGGAGCAGCTGGACTGACGGAAGGAGGAGCGACGGCCGCCTCTGGCCGCAGCAGCGGGCGCAGGTTCTGGTTCGTGATCCTCGGCCTCCGCGGGGTCCTCGCTGTCCAGCGTCAGCTTGTCCTGGGAGAGGTCGTGCAGCGAGGGCTGCGGCGGCGGCTGGACCTGAGGGTCCGGGGGCGTGGCGGATCGCAACGGCGGCTCTACGGGGAGCTCTGGCAGGACGCCTTTGTTTCGCAGCACCTGCGCCTCCTTCAGCTTCTGGATCTTCAGCGCGTACTCGGACTCGAGCTGCTGCAGTCGTTGCTTCTGAGCGATGAGCTCGGCAAAGTGGCGCTCAGAACCGCGGGGCGCTGCGTCACGCCGCGGCAACTTGCTGAGCTGGAAAGGATAACGTTACGCAGGGTAAACACACCTGCACACAGCGGCGCTCCATCAGAGCTTTCTTATAGTTTTATCGGCGGGTGCATGTAACCACCAACGCCTCTGAATCCATGGTTACCGGCGCCGTGAGGAGCTGCGTGAGCGCAAGCGTCCTCTGTAACAGCCCGAGTTCGTTTAGCCAGCGCCTCCCCACTGTGGGTCCCACCCTGATCCTTGCCTCAGCTGTTCATTAGCTGACTGGATGGGTAATTAGCTTTATTAGCTAACCAGCCAGCTAACTACAGCTAACTGCCTCACCTGTAAGTTTCAACAGCAATTCTTCATGCAACTGTTTTTTCAGAATAAAAGCCTCTCTGGCTGAGTGTTTCTCTGCTGAGGAGACAAACACACAACCTGCAGGTTCCACAGAGAAACAGGAAGACTCACCGCGGGCCGGCTGGAGTCCGCTCGCCGTTTGGGCGCCCTGCCGGCGGCCAGGTGAGCCTGCACCAGCTCCTGCTCCAACCGCACCGCCACCGTCTTCTTCACGGAGACCCGCTGCTCCACCCGGTGGACCTGCAGAGGACGTGGAGGCGGTCAAACGACACCAAACAAAGAGACTTCACAGCAGCCAGGAGGAGTCTGAGCTTCATGTCCTGCATCTGAGTGCCGCCGTGCTGACGCCACATTGGGGTCGTGTAGATTTAAGAGAAACACCCAACAGCGAGTTGGGGCGGTAAACTTGGCGTACCTGCTCGCGCAACTTCCTGAGGAGCGTCTTGTTGGCGCCGACGATCCTCTCCGACGCCTGCAGCTGCTCCCTCAGTTTGGCCACTTTGGCCTCGGCGGCCTTCAGCGACTCGTTCTTCTTCAGCTCCTGCTGCAGCAGGTGTCGCAGCACGGCCTCGTCTCTCTGCAGCAGCTCCCTGAGGGCAGCAGACTCCCACAGTCAAAGCGGCGCCACCGAAAACCTCACACCAGCTCCCGGTGTGTTTTAAGATCTCACCTGTGTTTGCTGAGCTTCAGCTCGGCCTCGCTCAGCTTCAGCTCCACCGCTGGCTTCAGGGAGGAGTCGATGGAGTCTGCAGTGGCGGGCGAGGCGGAGCCACGAGGGCTCTGTTCCTTCATCATCCTCTGCCTCTCCCTGCTGTGAGCGTGCACACCCACAGAGTTAGTAAAAGTCTTTGTGTGTGTGTGTGTTTGAGAGAGGTCACGTGGGTACCTGGCGATCTCCTCTTTGAGTAGGCGGTACTCGGCCTTCTTGGCGTCAGGCAGAGCCTCTGGCGTTCGGACCGGGTTGTTCTCCTTCTCAGAGGCCGACGCTCCTTTTGGCTTCGCCGCCTGAGAAATAAGAAGTTCAGAGTCGTGACATCATCACGCAACGCCGCAGACACATTCCGGCTGCACAACGATCGTCGTCGTGCCCGGACGGTTCAGGTGAACGCACTCACCTCCACCGTCCTTCGGGCCTCTTTGATCATGAACTCCAGGCCGCCAAACACCGCCTGCGATGAGCTGCAGGCGTCCATGTCCGAGTCGCTGTCGTCAGAGTCGTTGAGAGAAACCACCACCGTCTTATGTCTGGGCAGCTGGGCAGACAGGTGAGGGGCAGACAGGTGAGGGGCAGACAGGTGAGGGGCAGTTTCAGGCTCCATGTTTGTTTCTAAATAAGGAGCGGTGTGCAGCGAGCCTCTTACCACAAGCGGTGCTCTGGCGGCGAGGTGTGCTCTGGCGGCCTTGTTTGGGCGGGGCTGAGGCACCGTGTTCAGACTGACCGTGCTCAGGTTTCCTCTGGGTGGAGGCTGAAGGTCTGCAGGGGGAGGCCCACCTGGAGAAGGAGGAGCGCTGGAGCTCTTCTGCAGAGAGAAAATCATCATCATCATCATCATCAGCACAATCTAAACATGACATCATCACGTGACGCCGCGGACCTCCGAGACCACCACCCTCTTGTTGGCCATAGACATCAGGCAGGTCTCCCTGAGGAGCATCTCCTCCTCCTCCTCTTCATCAGCAAATGGAGGTTTTGGGGGGGGCTCCAGCTCATCTGGGGGAGGGGGGAGGGGAGGAGGGGGTGGAGGAATGGCGGAGAGCAGTGGGGGGAGGAAGGGCTGCGAGAATTCCTGAGGGGTGGAAAGAAAAAAAACCAGACATCAGCGAGCTCCTCGGAAGGTAACCGTGGTGATGAGGAGGAGGGGGCGTACCATTCCGAAAGGAACGGGGTCGGCGCCGTACAGGTGAGGGATGCACGCCGCCTCCTCCACAGACAGCAGGTTGCTGTGCGTTGGCGACGGGACTGAAACGCAGACAAACCAGTTTAAACGGGAAACAGGAAGTGAAAGGTGCGTCAGGTGCACCTCCTGCCCCCTTACCTGGCGAGCCCGTCTCACTGTCCGTGTCCATCGCCACCTCGTCGTAGTTGTCGTACTGGTAGAGGTTCCCCGAGGTGTCCAGGCCCGGCTTGCCTGCAGACTTGCGGTGGTCCCGGTCCCTGGACTGAGCAGACACAGGTGAGTCAGCACAGGTGAGAGTCAGGTGACCACACTGGGCGTGCGCACACGGCACCTTACCTTGCTGCGCGTCCTCTTCCTCCCACCCACCAGTTTCATGAAGCGGTTATATTGTTCGTCCTGGTTGGACAGGTCGCGTATTCGCCGGATCTCGTCCTCCCGCTTGCGGCGCTCCTCCTCCTCCTGCCGTCGCTTCTCCTCCTGCTCCCTCTGCTGCTGCAGCTTCCACGTCCTCACCTGCTGCTTCCTGAACGCCTGCTTTGCCACCGAAACTGTGAGACACGTCACACAGGAACACTCAGAGCCAATCAGAGCTGGCCGCTGTTTTTCCGCTTCACTTCTAAGCGTGCTCACATTTAAGGCGGCACAGCCCGCACATCTGTCTCACCTGGGCTGATCTTCTTGGTGATGTGAGCCTTCCCCGGGGGGCGGGCCCTCTCCAGCGGGCCTTTAGGTCCGGCTTTAGGACACGGCTTGAGTCTGTCTCTGTCCTGAGGTCTGGGCCCGGTCTTGTTTCGCTCGCGGTCCCTGTCCTGAGGTTTGGACCTGGTCCTGGTCCTCTCTGTGGCGGCTGCGGCAGTGGAAGCAGACCTGGTGGTGACCCTCTGCCTGGCGGGTGGGGCGGCCCCGGGGCCTGAGCTCTTCTCCTGAGTGGCTTTAGTGATGCGTTCTTTGCTCCGCCTCATCACCTGCTGCTCCTTCTGCTGCCACTTCTTACTGGCCGACTGCAGAGCGAGGAGACGCAGCTGCAGCTCTGACAGCTCCTCCTCCTCCACCACCACCACCTTCTCCGTGGCCTGACCACACACAGAGGAGACGTAACGTGACACAAACCAAACGCCATCGAAGCGAACGGCTGAATCTTTTCCCTGCGGGTAGCAGCTGCACGGCCTCACCTTGTCTGGAGAGTCCTCGCTGGACGCCGACGACTCGCTGGGACACGGCGGCGGCGGTTTCTCCTGCTCCTCCATGATGCACGGGTCACACGGCCTCTCGTCTGCGGGCTCTCCTCCTTCTGCTCGCTGTTCTCCCTCACCTGGACACACATTGCACAGGAAGTGAAAACACAGCGTCTTCATCAAAGGTCGCCTGCTCCTCACTGCACGGTGCTAATCAAACTCTGGTTTGGGGGCCGTGAGGGGACTCTGCAGGGTGAACCGGCGTGCGTTGTCACAGTTTTCACTGCTGCATGAACCGAAGATCCCGGCAACATGACGACCTTCAGTTCCATCGTTAAAAGGCTCATTTTTTAGATTCGTTCTGGCAGAAAGAGGCGAATACCCTGTCATCCTGTTACAGCTGCGGGGAAGAAGGTGGAACTTCCTGTTTAGTGACCCTTTAAAGGACAAACAGCTGAGCTGAGCCTTGCACTGGGCCTCTCACGGTCCTGACACACACCTGGCACCTGGACCGTCAGGGTTCAGACACTGAGGCCGTACCCAGACTGCAGAAGCGTTTGTCACACTCGGGCCGAGACATCCCCAGCTGACCTCCGGAGCACCATCTGGTGTTAGCTAGCTCGTGAGAACTTGAGCTTTTTCTAAGAGCTCGCGCCGTGTGAGCTTGTAATACCTGAAAAATCTCTCTGCCCCATTAAAGTGACAGAACAGCGAAGTGGACAGATCAGCAGGTCACATGTGCGACATCAGCAGAATCCCACAGCGCCCCCTACTGTTGCAGTAATAAGCAATGTGGCAACCAACCCCGGTCCACCCTACAGTGAAACGTCCTTTCAGAGGATCAATCGGAGAGTCTGCTGCATCGGTACGGTGTACACTCGTGCCGGCGGCCTCAGTCTGCTCACCGCCGCTCTCGCGCGTCCCCTCTTCTGCTTCTTTGGCACCTTTTCCTTCCAATTCTGCTCCGTTATCTGTGATTGGCTGATCCCCTTCACCTGTTGACACACAGAACAGGAAGCTGTAGAAACACTTTACACAGCAAACAGGAAGTGATTGGTCCTCAACATGGTTTAAGTCGCCAAACAGGTAAAAAGGGGCGCGTCTACAGCTGCGATGTGAAAGCAAACATTCGGATAACGAACTCACCATCAGGCTTCGCCCACTTCTTCTGCAGCTCGTCCAGGTCGGCCGGCGTGGGGAGTTTCTGACGAAGCGGTTTGATGTTGAAGGCCTGGAACACTTTCTTCCTCTCCAGCTCCGACACCTCGTCCGCGGCTGCTGCCGGACTCAGAGCCAGGCCCGGTTCAGCTTTGGTGTCCGTTAGAGCGGCGGCTACGCACTCCACCACGTCGTCCCTGACTGGTGACGTCCGTGGCTCCAGGGCCATCGTCTCCTCTTTGCGGATGCACTCGAGTTCGATCTGGATCTGTTTGTATTTGGACAGCAGATCCTCGAAGGACTCGTCACCACTGCTCTCCGGCCTGGGAGCGCCGTGAGCCACCTTCCTGAGCCGGTTCCTCCCGAGAGGTTTCTCTGAGGTCTGCATTAAAGAACGCTGATCAAGAATTACTGACCAACAGGGATCAATACTCATTTCATTTTTAAAGTCATGATTTAAAAGAAAAAATATTAAAAAATAAAATTTTCAAAAAGACTTAAATCTTTGCTACCAACGAAAAGCTTCATTTTTAAGAATGTGTAAAATTAAAAAACGAACAAATTAAGAAATCCTCACAAAAAAAATGTCCATGTAAAAGAAGCAAATTTCTCCTATCATCGGATTATTGATCGCAGATCAAATGGCAGAAAACTCGCAGCCCTCTGAAAACTAATCAAAGCTTTCTCAATTATGGAACTCATGATGTCAGTTCGTCAGCTGAACCTTTGATTATTGGCTTCACATCCAAACATTATTTATTAACGCACTGTGTGTGTGTATTTGTAGTTTGTAGAAGGCTGACCTCTAAGCTGTTTGTTATACACTGCACCATCTTTCATCTGTAACACTAAAACTCCGCTTGTGGGATCAATAAAGTATTGATCTATTGATTTGGGCTTTTCACAGCTGTCTTCAAGATCTTTTCAATATGATCGATCAATCAATACACGAACGAGGAAATAATCGATCACTGATGTAACCGTGTAGCGGATGAATGAGGACAGCTGATGGGGGAGTCGCAACCACACATACGTCATCACAGCGCCGGTTTCGTTTCCTGCTGTCACGCACGCACCTGGTGGAGTGTGAAACGTGAACCAGTCGAAGCCCAGAACACTCACAGATCAATGGGCTGTTCATTAAACCAATATGTAATCAATGAAACCCTGACCGGCTCCTCGCGGGCTGCCTAATTCAATCACCGTCCCGGGGGAGAGGGCACGTGACACAGCAGAAAGGATACGCTTCCTCGCGGGGGAGCTGTGGCTCTCTCCGGGCAGGTACCGTCCGGGAGGCGGCCTGCTGTTGCCCCCCCGGCCGCCCCGGCTCCAGCCCCCGGGGCCTCCGTTCGGCATGCCGCGGTGCCGGAAGCGTCCCAGTGCGCCGTGGCTCCGCTCCCAGAAGCTGGACCGCGGCCCGGGCTCCCCGTGAGAGCCGAGCCCGGGAGGCTGCTGCTGCGGTGGCGGGGAGGGAGGCCGGTCGGGCCCGCTCGGCCCGCACTGCTGCCGGTGGCCGGGCGGGAATGGGCCGTGAGGGCCGAGGCTGTAGGGCATGAGGTGGCGGAAGTCCGGCGGCGGGTGGCCCAAGTGCGGCGGCGCGCCGTGCGGGTGCTTGTGCGGCTTTCGCGGCCGAGGAGGAGCACCGCCACGGGGCCTGCTCCCATCCCCCCGCCGTGGAGGCGCTCTCTCCTCGGTGTCATCATCGCAGATCTCTCCGTCTTCTAGCTCCCCGTCCTCCGCGGGGGATCGGTTCGGAACGTCTACGTCCATGTTGGGGTGACCGTCTGCAGCTCCCTGCTGGGGCCAAACTCAGGGGCGGGACCAGGAGCTCATTCCGCGGCTCTGAAGCAGCTTCGCGGAGGTTCTCTCCGCTCTGACCGTTAGCTCTCTGTTAGCGCTCTGCTAGCTCCGCTGCTACCAACAATCACCGCGATAAAACCCGAGACTTCGCGAGACCGGAAAAAGCACGTAAAAGCAGAGCTGTGGGTTTTTCTCTTCCTCCCGGGAGGCGGGGACTCCGCATGTTGTTCTCACATTATTTATTGTTTTTATTTTGTTGACAGTTTTTGTTTGAGTATGTTTTGTTTTAATTTAATTTTAATTTATTTTGTTTTTTATTGTTTTTATTTTTTAGTTTCTTGTTTTTTATTTGTTTGTTTTCATTTGTTCTTATTTAATGTCATGTTTATTTTGTTTATAGGTTTCGTTTTGTTTCTTTTTTTTTCTTTTTCATTTATTGTTTTAACTGGTAGCAGGCTGCAGTGCTTCCTGTCCGCTCAGGCCTCTGTGTGACATCACTGATGGTTATTCTCTGTTCCCTCAATCAGAATCAGTCTCTGTGTGTTTCTGTTAAAGTGGCCACAGCAAGAAGGCCAGATCTACCACCAGCATATATAATAAAGTGAGAGCAGTGTGTTTTGAAAGGAGAGCTTATATTTATTAATGCGGTGAATGCAGAGGTGAAGCCAGAAGAGGGTGGCGATGAGACACAGTGAGGAGCAGGAGGAAGGTGTAGGAACTGAGCAGAGGAGCAGGAAGGCGAGCAGGAGCAGCAGGTTGAGGAGGACGGAGATCAAGAAGATGAAGGACACAGTGGAGTGGAGCATGAAGTCCTCGTGGGAGGTTCTGTGTGGAGCTGCAGGTGGACACAAGTCAGGAAGATCATTGGAGTCACGTTACTTTAAATCACACAGGTGGCCTCGGTTTCTATTAATCATTTATTATTGATTATTTATTCTGTGAATTAAAATTTCAGTTTTCCATTTTAAGCAGAAGGTGATGCAGCAAACGGTGGATGGTGACTCAGAGTGGTTCTCACAGCTGCTCGATGACCCCAGTTTCCTCACACCTGTAATCGCTCTGTGTCACCTGTCAGTGTGCTGGTGTGGATGTGGACTTTGCAGCTGCAGGTTTTCAGATCCTTTCGAACCTTCCAGAGAGACTATGCTCTTCCTTCTTTGTTCTGACAAAGCTCTGAGAAAGTTTGGTACAGTTTCAGATTTTCAGCGCTTCAGTGGGTGTTAAAAAACATTCACGGTGTTTCCTTTCTGCTCTTGGTGAAGCGTGAGAAAATGCTGATGTGACACGAGGGTAACGTACGAACTCAGGGGGTCAGAGAGCAGTCGGACAGACGAGTGATCCACGTTGTGACCAGGATGTTTCTGTCAGGATGAAAAATTAAACAACTGAAAGCTTCACTGCCAGCCGGAAAGACTTAGTATGACAGGTGAAAACTGATCTGACAGGTTTCCACTGAAGGTGTTTTCTGGGAGCACTGGGATGTTGTTGTTCTGAGGAAAACTCAGGGCAGTTTGTAAATCAAAGCCAGAAGTGTTGTTTTAAATAAATAAATAAATGTTAATAATGTGAGGCCCAGTGGGAGCTTTGGCTTTAACATCACTTGGTTTTCAGAGGAACAAACATTCATGTGTACAGATTTGATTCTGCTGACTGAGCTGCTCTGATGCCAGGTCAGAGACAGACTCTCCAACAAGATGTTCAGAGCATATGAAGGTGAGGAGGTTCAGTCGGCATCAGTAAACACCAGGTTTAAAATCAGATATATATATTATTATATAGATCCCTTCCCAGACGCCTTAACGCCCACTCACATCCTGGGCCATCTGACCTCAGGAATTCGCATGATAAGGTGGGGGCAGGTTTCACAATGAACTCACCCGAAACTCTGGCTGATTGGGACCCACACCCAGTTTCACACCTTGGCTCAGGCGATTAGAGGATCATCAGGGGTCCTTTTGTCCCTCTGTGGGGGGTCACTCCCACTAGGTTTATATCTGGGACTCTCCACCATTTGACCTTAGAACTGAAGAAGCTTCTCGGATGAGAGGTGAAACGTCTTCAAGCAACTTAAAGAAGTCCAGACGCTTTCCTTTGCAAGCTCCTTTGTCTCTGAGTATTGCACACCTTGTGCTTTTGGGCACTCCAGTGATGTTGCAGCTCTGAAATATGGCCAAACTGGTGGCAAGTGGCATCTTGGCGGCTGCACGCTTGACTTTTCTCAGGTCATGGGCAGTTATTTTGTGCCTTGGTTTTTCCACACGCTTCTTGCGACCCTGTTGACTATTTTGAATGAAACGCTTGATTGTTCGATGATCACGCTTCAGAAGCTTTGCAATTTTGAGACTGCTGCATCCCTCTGCAAGATATCTCACTATTTTTGACTTTTCTGAGCCTGTCAAGTCCTTCTTTTGACCCATTTTGCCAAAGGAAAGGACGTTGCCTAATAATTATGCACACCTGATATAGGGTGTTGATGTCATTAGACCACACCCCTTCTCATTACAGAGATGCACATCACCTAATATGCTTAATTGGTAGTAGGCTTTCGAGCCTATACAGCTTGGAGTAAGACAACATGCATGAAGAGGATGATGTGGACAAAATACTCATTTGCCTAATAATTCTGCACTCCCTGTATAAAAGAAAATGTCAATAAAAATACAAAAAAATCAGCTCTGAACTGTTTGCTTTTTATGTTTTGAGTTGTCTTGATTTTCAATTCAATTAAATTCAAAATTTATTTGTATAGCACATTTAAAAACAACAGAGTCGACCAAAGTGCTTCACAATTGGTTAAAAACAAGAGAAAAAAATAGAGAAACAAATACAGGTAAATAAGAAGACAGTAAATTAACAATAAAAACATAAAACAGGCCTGATGGTACTCATACTGAACTCGAATGAAAAGCCAAAGTCAAAAAGAGTTTTAAGACGCGATTTAAAAGACCGAATAGACTCTGAAGTACGAATCTCCTCTGGCAGATTATTCCAGAGTCTGGGTGCTGCTACTGCGAAGGCCCATCTCCTCTGTGCTTCAGTCGAGACCTCGGTTGTGCTAAGAGCATCTCAGTGCTCTTTGGGGTCGTACATGTTGAGGAGTTCGTTTAAATAACAGGGCGCCATATTATTTAACTTTAAAAGTAGGTAAAAGAATCTTATAATCAATACGATATTTTACAGGGAGCCTGTGTAAGTTTGCTAAAACTGGAGTGATGTTCATACAGTTTTTAAATACTGAAGCTGGCCCTACACCTCTGAAAAATGAACGATCGGGGGAAGGAGTTCAGAGAAAGAAGAAAACTCACTGGGTCAAAGTTTCCGTCAGGAATATAAAATCCAGTCCCAACGAGATAAAAAAGTCATTTAGGATGAAAGTCTTGTTTGACGGTGACCTGTTGTTTAGCAGGCCCATCCGAAGCGTGATTGAAGTGTTGCTAACAGGAGCACGTCCCAGTGGACGAAGGTTACTGAGATTCACGCCACCTCTGTAGGACTGCACCCATCGCCAGACAGGTGAAGGCTTCGTCGGCAGGACCGAGGGAGCAGGAGGTCCAACAGACCGGATCCAGCAATGGAAGCTGAATCTGTAACTGGACTGGTCCCAGAGAGGTCGAAAATATAGTAGCACATCTGTAAGAGTACAAGGTTTCTTTACTCCATGTGATTTCAGGAAAGCCTTGAAGCGTACCAGGATGCCACCTCGTTTTCCCCGTCTTCTAGAGCGCTTCCTGCGAAGAAGGGTAAATGGTAAGCGATGTAGGCAATCAGGTAGATAAGATTTTCTGGCTTGCTTTCCAAATCAAGCATTCGGGGTTTTAGTGGCCGAAGGTTCAGAAGAGTTTGGCGATCATAGCCGAGTAAAGCAGAGCCATCAGGGCAACATAGAAGAAGATAGGCAACAACCAGCAGACACAACCCAAAGAGACGGCTTGTCGTGCACGCTGGCACCATCTTGGGGATTTTTAATCTGTTTGATGCTTTTTTCCAAGACAAGGAAACAATTCAAATTTCCAGTTACCCTCCACAGTGACTCCACTTCTGTTATTAATTCTGCTGATAAGGAACTGTTCAGATTTGAAGCTTTGCAGGAAACTTGTTTCATCAGGGATTTCTGAGCCTTTGATGAAACGAGCTGGGGGTTACCTGCAGGGGTAAAAGGGTGGCATGGGGTGGCAAGTGCCACCCTAAGAAAATTTCTCTAGATCCGCCCCTGGTTACCTGTAGAGCAAAACAAATAGAGCTTGAAAATGTGACGTCAAAACCACAAAGGATTGTAGGTATGAGTGGCAAGAGGTACTAGCGCATGCAGGCTTTCAATTGAAATCAGTTATACAGCGATAAAAAGAAACACAGAAATGTCAAGAAGCTGTTGTATTATTAACTGCAATAGCCGGTCGCATGACAGCCACGGGAAGCCGACGGGTAAAGAGATCGGTTGTTATCAGATTACGTCGTTGAAGAGAAATTGTTCGAGCCATGTTTCCGAAGTAACAAAGAGGCGACTGGATTGCAGCCGTTCAAAGACCAAATATAACGTCCCAGAACACTCCAGCTCACAGGTTAGTCTGCTCCAAGCATTCCCACAAAGGTCAGTCTGCTGTTGTAGTTGTTACGTAATTTATCATAATTGTTGATGTAGGTTACAAATAAGTCTTATATTGATTTGAATTGAATTTGTTGCACTATGCTGCTTTGTTCGCGGTGGCTTTGCGGGCTAATGTTTGTTGTGTTTTGTAGGAAAACCAGCCAACAAAATGCAGGAATGTGATCCAGGTGGATGAAGGAAAGGGGAGGCAGGAGGAGAGCCCCGAGGCGGTGAACTGAACTTCAGGTAAGAAGTTATGACCTGCAGTCTATCTGGGTCAGATATAAACCAAGTTTAGGTGGAGTTTATTTTCGTTGTGCTGACTTTTTCGTACTGTGTGAGCTAGCATGACGGAGTTTCTATACAGCTGGGTGGGTGCTATGATGTTACTGATAGTGAACTTTATTTTATTCGTAAGGTTAATTATTAGAGTTTCCAACCGTCCCCTAAAAAACGTAATCATCTCGTATTCAGAAAAAATATTACACGTTTCGTATTGAAGTGAAAAGTAACACAGTTTGTCCCGTAATTCAGCTACAATGAAAAAGACACAAAGCTGCAGTTATTCTGTCTTTGCTGCACAGCTGCCTCTTCTTCTCTCATCCTCCCCCCTCCCTCTCCTGTTTCTACTTCAATCATGAAACTGATCAATGATCAGCTGA